ATGATGGATGGATGGATGATGGATGGATTGATGATGATGATGGATGATGGATGGATGGATGATGGATGGATGGATGATGGATGGATGATGGATGGATGGATGATGGATGGATGGATGATGGATGGATGATGGATGGATGGATGATGGATGGATGGATGATGGATAGATGATGGATGGATGGATGATGGATGGATGGATGGATGGATGGATGATGGATGGATGGATGATGGATGGATGGATGGATGGATGGATGATGGATGGATGGATGATGGATGGATGGATGGATGGATGGATGGATGGATGGGTGGGTGATGGATGGATGGATGGATGATAAATGATGGATGATGGATGGATGGATGGATGGATGATGGATGAATGGATGAATGGATGGATAAATGATGGATGAATGATGGATGGATGGGTGATGGATGGATGATGGATGGATGGATGGATGGATGGATGATGGATGGATGGGTGATGGATGGATGGATGGATGGATGGATGATGGATGGATGGGTGATGGATGGATGGATGGATGGATGGATAATGGATGGATGGATGGATAAATGATGGATGAATGATGGATGGATAAATGATGGATGAATGATGTATGGATAAATGATGGATGGATGGATGGATGGATGAATGATGGATGGATGGATGATGGATGGATGGATGAATGATGGATGGATGGATGATGGATGAATGATGGATGGATGGTCTTGTTTTTTCACCTTAGCCAGTCTGTCTGTCAGAGCCTGTCTGGCAGCTCTCTCTGTGTTTCCTCCTGCTGACAGCCAGGCCTGCTTGGCTTCAGCTCTGGATAACTGAATCCCACTTTTAACATCTGCAGAGTCCGCCTTCTCTCCTCCATCAGCAGGTGGGGCTTCTTTTGACATGTTCTGTATGAGGTGAAGATTATCAACACAAACGTTCCACAGAGTGAGAGCATGAGGTAGGTACAGGTGTGCTGACAGGTACTAACAGCTGATGTCTTGTCAGAAACACTCTGTATGAAGGATGATGCCACCAACATCCTGATCTGGTCCAAAATCAGAGGGAGCTCGGTCTTCAGCCAGCTGCAGGATAAGATACTACTCTCCCCAGTTACCCTCACACTTGTGAAGACTTCCTCTGGACTCAAACCTTTCTTCTCCCCAACCTGACAGAAAGGACAAAAACACTCAAATCCACTCTGACAATAAGTTTCCAAGGAGAGAAGAACAACCATCCTGAAGGAGATTTACTCTGATGAGCTGAATCAGCTTCAGTCCTTCCTCCTTCATCAGCCTCTGCCTCTGGGAGTCCAGGTTCTTAGGAGCCACCTGTTTGGGTTTGACAGGCAGAGCAGGGACCCGTCTGACAGGTGAGGGTGGGTGGAGCTTCACAGGCAGGGGTGCAGGCTCCGGACGAGCCAGGTCGCACATTTCACACATTGTAGCAGGAGAGTAGTTTAAATAGGTGCAGAACTGACAAACCCACTGAAACAGGAAGACAAAAAGAGTTACAAACTAAAAGTTATGCTCTCAAAAGTTATTTTTGGGATATAAATTATAATAACATTTTTGCCAAAATGTTTCTTAATATATTAGATCAATATGACAAACTTTTGGTCTCAATACATAATACATACCTGGGGCCTCATGTACAAAGACTTGCGTGGATTTCTTACTGAAACCTGACGTACGGTCAAATCCAGAAAATGGCGTACGCACAGAAAAATCCAGATGTATCAAACTGTGCGTACACCTGAACCCACGCACATTTCTTTTGTACATAACAATGAACGTGGAACTGAGCGCAGGTAAGACACCTCCCCTGACACGCCTTCATTATATGTTAAACTGATGCAAATTACTTCCTGCATGTGTGAAGGACATGTTTGTTTGATCCCTGCATGATCAGAAATGATTTCTAGAGTCAGGAAAATAATGAATTAAATATAATGTGTGTGAGAAAAAAATCCTAAGTAAAAATAAGAGTAAAATATATCTGTCACGCAAAGAACGACTGATTGTGTGTGTGTGTGCGTGCGTGTATGAAGCTGCTGTGGTGCGCAGCCGCATCCATTCATTCTGAGCCTGTAAATATTCACTTTATGCACGAGTTTATTACCATAATTAGAGAGGCACAGAGGAACTTAAATGTTTGGTAGAACATAGATCTTTGTTTATTTCATAGCTGAAATGAAGAACGAGTCTCTGTGTCTCAGTACTGGAGAGTTTTCATGACATGACGTGATGTTGGAGAGTTAGATTCAGATGGATCAGACCATTCCATCGGTCATGATTCAGCTTTGGGTGGACTGGACTGACACGGTCCCGATCGGTCTGCCAGCTCCCTCTGGAAAGCTCCTGTGGAACCCCAATTCAATCGCTGCTGCTGCACGCGTGGCGCACCGGTGTGTGGCGCTCCCAGAGTGCAGCAGTGCCAAACGGAAAAATGATTTTCCTCAAAACGGCTGATAAGCCGTCATCATGGATCAGAAAATTCTATCTGTTTATAAATAAATGCTCTGCGTGTTACACAATTTATTATATCCTCCAGTAAGGCTGAATCCATTCCTGTTAAATGTATTTTTGGCACAACTTCGCACTTCTTTTATCTAACTGCGTCCATATGGATGTAATAATTGTTAATCATATGTGTCTGGTGTGAACAATAATCATTTTCACATCATGAACAGTTCCTCAGCATCACCTCTAAGTGTCTCCAATGGAACCAAAATCACAGAAATGTGACACCAGCCCTGGAGTTGGCGTGGGGCTGCGCACATTTCCAHKTTCAGTTGAGTTTTGATACATCCGGAGTTTTGCGTGGAAAATGGCGTACGCAAGGTTTTTGTGTGTACACACTGTTGATACATGAGGCCCCAGGACTGTACTTGGTACTTACCAAGAACATACCTGGTAGGTACTTACCTTACCCAGGTAAAATAAGGTAAATCTCTGCTTTGTGCTCTGTAACGGCACAACAACACACAAACACTGACCTGACTGTCAGGATCCCCGGGCATGCCCAGAACAGGTGCAGGTGGTCTGGGTGGTGTGATTGGCAGGTGTGAGGAGGTCACCGGTGGGCGTGTGGCCAGGCGAGGTCGTTCACATACCTCACACAGAATACTGCTGGCTGTGTTCACCATGGTGCAGCTTTTACAGTGCCACTCTAAGACAGCAACAACACAACTCATTCGTGTTGTCAGGATTCTCACATTATACAGAACAGTCACTGTCTATCAACGACTCGGCTCAGATATTAATATAAAATTAATACACTAAGGGCCTGATTTAGCAAAGATTAACACGTATAAAATGATGTGCAAACCTGATAGCACACACAAAGCTGATTTATTAACGATGAGCAGCGAGGACTGCGTCTGTCAGATGAGCAAAACAGCAGCCGCAACACATTCAGCGTGTCTGCCTTCATGAATATGCAAAATATATGATGATTAGCAGATCACGCAAAATACTGAGCAGAGGATCTGCAGATATAAATATTTTACACCCGTAATAAGATTTATCAAACCTTAAAACTGGTTGCTCTACTGTTTCATTGTCTATATTTAGTACTTTTGAAAGTCAGGTGCAAAGTGGCTGCACAGCTTCAGACACTTTATCCCCTCTGCTCTGCAGTGTGACAGTAGCTAAATGTACAACTTATAAATAAAAATGAGTATAACTGCAGCTTGAAAAAATACATATAAAGTCAATCTCAGCTGTGGTCTGTTTTTTGTTTTTGTCGTCCAGAGCTGGGACAGAGAAGTTTTTTTTTTCTTTCTGAATCTTTCTCTAAATGATACAGCCTGCATTATAATAAATGCATGCTGACAAAATCCACACTTAATATGATTGTGCTTTTCTATAATCTGATGAAATGAAACTGTTGTACCTCAAATTTAATCTGTTGTCCCAACTGATGTGATCTCTAACCATTGATGATGAAATAATCTCAAATGATGTGAAATCTGAAGGTTAGTCTGCTTGTTGTTAAAAAAGTGTCTCCAGCTGCTTTAACAACATATCACTGCACGTCCAATTGGAGAAATCTGTTCCTCTTCCACAATGAATACAAAAAAACGGATGTGACTGGAGACATAAACTCTAGTTTTGTCTGATCTGTTCCAGAAACTTTGTGGCTTGTCAGTTTTTTGTGAATTTGTTTGGCTTTCTTGTGTTTTTCCACCTGTAGTGAAGCCCCACCCACCTGGGTCTTCTTTTATGACTCAAACAAGCGAGGAATTGTGCAAATAATTCTCAGGTCTTACACAACTTAGAAAGTCACAACATGTACTGTAGTCTCACTTCTGAGGATTGAGGCTTGTTTTTAATCAAAACTTTCCATTCAGGACAGTCCAAGTTGTGTTAGAAATAAAGATGCTAAAATGATTTTGTACTCCTTTCGTTTTTCATGTAGAAAACTCAACCCAAAAGCAACGACCAAACACAACACAGACCGTTGAGAGTAGCAGACTGACTTTCATCCATTTTGGAGCTGTTGAACTCCAGGCGAGGGTTTTCACACTGCTCACACAGCACAGCACGCACTGGGTTCAGCTTAGTGCAGTGAAGACAGCACCAGGTGGAGGAGCTGAAACAGGACAGGAGAGACTGTTACGCACCTGATACTAAAAACTTTTTATTAAGTAGATCTTTGATTAATAAAAGCCAGAGTTTAACCTGACTCTCCAATGCTAAAACCAGCTTATCCATGCTAGTCGCTAGTCTCTCCGATGCTAATGCAAGCTTATCCATGCTAGTTGCTAGCCTCTCCGATGCTAATGCAAATGAATAGTTTCCTTTTCTTTTGCCAGTGCCGGTGTTGTACGAAATTCAGTTCCCCTGTTAAAATATGTTCCCCCCTGTGTCGGGAGCCCCTCCCTCATATTAACCATTTAGGATTGGTCTGACGTTAAAGCTGAACCAGTGATTCTCTCTAAGGTTAACCAGTAGGGGGAACAGATTTTCACAGGGGAACTGAATTTCGCACATCACCGGCCTCTCAGTTACCGGTGATGCTCCTCTGACAGACAAGTCACCAGATCAAACCTAAAACTGACAGGATTTTTTAAAGAGCATTAAAGTTTAGAGCTACCACACAAACTGAATGACTCAGAGCAACAAGCTCCTTCCTCTAGCTGATCAAAAATATCAACAAAAACAACAAATGCTTAGTCTAACAGGGATTTAACCAGGCGACCTGTGGTGATCCCTGAAACCTGAAAGACTGACCTGTGTCTGCTCCTGCCTTTAGATGATGATGATGATGAAGATGTGACCGCGTTGCGACGGTGGCCGGCTCTCTCGGGATGGGAGTGATACAGTCGGTCACATTCTGAGCAGAGCGCCTGCAGACAGGTCAGGCAGTGGGCAGACACACGGAATATTCCACAGATAGTGCAGTTCTCTGGAACACACAAGGACAGAATCTGAAGATTCAGAAGAATCTGAACCTCTTGGAGCAGGAGGTTCTATGGTTAGAAACACAAGGGTAACCTGGAGCAGGTTACCCTTGTGTTTTTACGCATGGACCCTCCTGGGGCAGGTTACCCTTGTGTTTTTACCCATGGACACTCTTGGAGCAGGTTACCCTTGTGTTTCTAACCATGTACCCTCTTGGAGCAGATTACCCTTGTGTTTTTACCCATGGACACTCTTGGAGCAGGTTACCCTTGTGTTTCTAACCATGGACCCTCCTGGTGCAGGTTACCCTTGTGTTTCTAACCATGGACCCTCCTGAAGCAGATTACCCTTCAGTTTTTACCCATGGACCCTCCTGGAGCAGATTACCCTTGTGTTTCTAACCAAGGACCCTCCTGGAGCAGATTACCCTTCTGTTTTTACCCATGGACCCTCCTGGAGCAGATTACCCTTGTGTTTTTACCCATGGACCCTCCTGGAGCAGATTACCCTTGTGTTTCTAACCATAGACCCTCCTGGAGCAGGTTACCCTTGTGTTTCTCCACCAACATGCACTGGAGCTCTAACAAACCTAGAAATGAAGGCTGTGGATAAGAAGTATGCAGCAACAATTATGTAACCAGATTTTCAACCCAGATCTCTTTTGAACTGAATTGAAACTAATTTATTTGTGCTGTGAGATGATGTTTGTTATAAAAAACTGAATTATTGGGTGAATTAAAATTCTGTAAATAATTCAAACCTTATAATGTAAAGGTAAAGCACTCGCTGTATGTCAGTGCAGAGTTTTAGACTGAGATGATTTTATGCTGAAAAAGTTTGAACTCTTTTGGTCAAACCTCAGGTTTGTGCTGAAGCTCAAAGCATTTTGTAATGAGATGTGATCTGAAATTAATCTCAGCTGCTGTAACGCCACATCTGAGCTCAGTCTGTCCTCTTAAATCAAGTTAGTCATTTGAATCAGGTCGAACTCTAATTTTGCTAACAGAACAGACAAATGGATCCACAGGTCTTTGATGACAGATGATAAAAAGTGTTTTGCTGGTGAGCAGCAGAAGCATCTTCAGAGTCTGTCTGGAGGTCTGGTTCTAACTCGGGGCTCAGGACCTGGACCACAGAAACGGACTAAACCTGCAGACACTGGGTTCTTCTCCCACCTGAATGTTTGTTGGAGGTGGTGGCACATTTCTTTGTGAGCTTGACACTTTTGTTGTTGGTGGACAGGGAGTGTCCATGGCTGCTGTCCCTGAAGGAGCAGTCCTGAAGGGGGAAGGCCAGAGACTTGGTCTGACTGTGTGGACCTGAGGCCGGGAAGGAGCCACAGGAAACAGCGTCGGTGTTCAGACCCACATCCTGATCAGAGACAAGAAGCTGACAGTGAATGACTATCAGCACTCTATTCACTCAGCACATTCAAAAAAGTGTCGATTCATTCAGTTTTACTAATGTTGAGCTGAAGTTTTTATCTGAGCTTCAGCTTCACCTCAACAGATCAGATCCATGTTCTAAGATCTTTATTTCAAAGTTCTTTACCTCACATGCTGCCGTCATCTGTTGATGTAAACCGTTTGTCTTGTAGCACAAATATTTCATGAAGTCAACTGTTAATAAACATGAAGCATGCTGTGATGGACTTCACCTTGTGTCTCAGAGTAGGAATAATCCTCTCATAGAACTCAGGATGAGGATGAGTCTCCTGCAATCAAAGAACAAAACATAGTTTTATATTTCAAGTAAAGGAATTATTTCAGTGTGTGAGGAAAAGACACATAACCTGTTCAAACTCAACAATGATTAGAAAAATAAATATAAAAATAACCAGTTTATCTTGTTATTTGATGATCTTGTTATTTTTATGTTTATTATTGACATAATTTATTTTTAGTTTAAACTCTCAGCTCTGACAGATTCAAGTTTGTTTCAAGCAGCTGCAGTGTTTCTTCCTAACAGCTGATTAAAATCAGGTTAAAGCTAATTATTATTTTTATATTTAGCAGAGTTTGGTTTGGTCTTCATCAGACCCAGGTCCGTATAAAACCTTTAGTTAAATTAGTCCACCTCTACATTCTGATTGGTGGATGGAAAAAGACTCAACTTGTGTTTTAAATTACGCTGTGCTCTATATTTATGTCCATGTAAGGTCCTTTAATGATTCACATTGTAATTGATGTGTAAATGGAACTTGTTTATTTATGTTTGTTTATTTCTCTGTTTGATTATGTTCTTTATGGTTTTATTCACTCTGTGATCTGCTGCTCAGACTCACTGCACTTTTTCTTTTATCTTTTTGTGCGCTTCTTTTACTGATCATTATTATTTTTTTATTGTACTTTTTATTTTTCCCTGGATGCCCACTTTACAAAGGTGTTCCTCCAAGTGAAAGGAGACCTCAGTGAAGACCCTGGACACTCTGGAGAGGACTGAGTCTCACAGCTGGAACAGGAATAATCTGATCTCAAGACCCAACTGCAAAACAAGCTGCAGATAATGAATGGATGGGTTATTGTTTTGTTGTTGTTGTTGTTGTTTAGGGGCCTCACCCCTTATAAAAAACATAAAAATATTGGTTCACTGCATTCATTGTGTTAATTTAGGACTTAGTATGTCTTGATCTTTTTTGTGTTTTCCTTTATGTTTTTTTACTTTTGTTTTATTGTGTTGTTGTTGTTTTCATCAAAAATGCCGTGAGTAAATACAAAAATGCGTGAATAAATTTCCCAAACCTTGATAAGCATTTCTAGCTCCATCCTGAGGCTCATCACTTCAAGTGTCACTGCAGCAACTTTACCCACATCAGGATCTGTGACGTCATCAGGGAAACTCAGGCCGTCTGGCTGCTGATTGGAGTAACCATAGAGACAAAGAACTGCTCGTCCTCCCTTCATGTTGAAAACAAACAAAATAAAAGGTTAACCTCACTTTAAAAAACTATAAAAACCTTTGGGTTTCATTAATTCATTCCACACCTATGAAAACCACCTGGGTGTGTTTGGGAAACTAAATCTGATTTGTGACGTTCAGACTCATTAAAAATGGTTACATTTGAGACAGTTTTCCCTGCAGAATATCAGGAAAAATGACTCCAGTGAAGAACTGATGAGTGAATGTCTCACACAGCAGGAACCCAGCAAAGAAGAGACAAAAACAAGAGAAACCATCAGGGAAAGATTAGACGCTGCAAAGAAAGCAGCAGATTGAAGAACAACCAGTGAGGACTGGAGTGAAGGACACACACGCGCCAATCATTATCTACGCTGTGATCTGCCATGGCACACATGGTGCAGGCAGGCAACGCACACAAGCAATACCAAACCAAGTGATGAAATGGTGTCAGGGGTGGAGCCAGAGGGGTGGCCACAGTGGCACCTGATTGGCCACTCCAGGTGCCAACCCCAAAGGACAATTTCAAAGATGGGCATTTAATGAAAACTTATTTTGCTAGCTGGGATAGCTTTCAGAATGTCACGAGGATTACTCTTGGCTACCACCAAACCTAATTTCAGCTCAATATTTCTAAAAATGGCCAAGTTGTAGCCATTTCAAATTAGCTTTGGCAGCCATCTTGGATTTTGCATTTAAAGTCAGAATTTGTTAAAGATTGTTTCTCAGCTACTGCTGTGCTAATGTTTAGATGTAAGTGTTTAAAAATGGCTACATAATAGCCTTTTGTGAAATTGGCAGTTATCTTAGTTGGGACTAGCAATCGCACACAAAATTTCAACACAATATTTCTTGTAATAGCTGAATTAGAGTCATTTGAAGTTAGCTGTTGAGGCCATCTTGAATTTTCAAATCCAGAGTAGTTTTATTTATTTGTATGTGCCCCCTTTAAAACACCTTGGCCACTCCTGTGCAGCAAAAATGTCTAACTCAACCCAGAAACATCTAGACCCAGCATCTGCTGGAGGTCCAGCAGTCAAAGTTCCACCTAAATAAATGGACAAAATGCTAAACAAAAACCAGTTTTACATGTTGTTAAAAGAAGAACAAGCTTTGAAACCAGAGATGTAAATGAATACGTATGGTTGTTACCTGAATAGCATCAACGGTTGCCTTGAACACAGGGTTGTTGTGTTTTACCGTCCTCCAGTACTTGGGCCTGTTGGGATTTGTCAAATTACAGCCGTACTTTTCCAGGATGTTGAGTGCTGTAGAGAAGCACTGCAGGGATGCAAGAGTCTGCAGAGGAGGAACACAAGCCCAACTGTTTTCAGGATGGAACCGGAGCTAAGGCAACAACCTACCTACCTCTGTCCCTGAATTCTGTTCTTTCTTTCTTTGGACAATCTCTGCTAACCAATCACTGATGAGCATTAGAAGATGGATAAATATTTATATACACAGTCTGTAGTATGAATTTATGTAAATAGTTTATAATTACATACATACAGTATAAAGAGTACAGACCAAAAGTTTGGACACACCTTCTCATTCAAAGAGTTTTCTTTATTTTCATGACTATGAAAATTGTAGATTCACAATGAAGGCATCAAAACTATGAATTAACACATGTGGAATTATCACAAAAAAGTGTGAAACAACTGAAAACAAGTCTTATATTCTAGGTTCTTCAAAGTAGCCACCTTTTGCTTTGATTACTGCTTCACACAGTCTTTGTAGCTTCAAGAGGTAGACACCTGAAATGGTTTTCACTTCACTGTTGTGCCCTGTCAGGTTTAATAAGTGGGATTTCTTGCCTTAWWAATGGSGTTGGGACCATCAGTTGTGTTGTGCAGAAGGTGGATACAGTACACAGCTGATAGTCCTACTGAATAGACTGTTAGAATTTGTATTATGGCAAGAAAAAAGCAGCTAAGTAAAGAAAAACAAGTGGCCATCATTATTTCAAGGTCAGTCAGTCCGAAAAATTTGGAAAACTTTGAAAGTGTCCCCAAGTGCAGTCGTAAAAACCATCAAGCGCTACAAAGAAACTGGCTCACATGAGGGCCGCCCCAGGAAAGGAAGACCAAGAGTCACCTCTGCTGCGGACGATAAGTTCATCGAGTCACCAGCCTCAGAAATGACAGGTTAACAGCAGCTCAGATTATAGAACAGGTCAATGCCACACAGAGTTCCAGCAGCAGACACATCTCTAGAACAACTGTTAAGAGGAGACTGTGTGAAACCACTGCTAAGGACAGGCAACAAGCAGAAGAGACATGTTTGGGCTAAAGAACACAAGGAATGGTCATTAGACCAGTGGAAATCTGTGCTTTGGTCTGATGAGTCCAAATTTGAGATCTTTGGTTCCAACCACCGTGTCTTTGTAGAAAAGGTGAACAGATGGACTCTACATGGTTCCCACCGTGAAGCATGGAGGAGGAGGTGTGATGGTGTGGGGGTGCTTTGCTGGTGACACTGTTGGGGATTTATTCAAAACTGAAGGCATACTGAACCAGCATGGTTTCCACAGCATCTTGAAGCAGCATGCTGTTCTGTCCGGTTTGCGTTTAGTTGGACCATCATTTATTTTTCACAGGACAATGACCCCAAACACACCTCCAGGCTGTGTAAGGCCTATTTGACCAAGAAGGAGAGTGATGGGGTGCTGTGTCAGATGACCTGGCCTCCACAGTCACCGGAACTGAACCCAGTCGAGATGGTTTGGGCTGAGCTGGACAGCAGAGGGAAGGCAAAAGAGCCAACAAGTGCTAAGTATCTCTGGGAACTCCTTCAAGACTGTTGGAAAACCATTTCAGGTGACTACCCCTTGAAGCTCATCAAGAGAATGCCAAGAGTGTGTGAAGCAGTAATCAAAGCAAAAGGTGGCTACTTTGAAGAACAGAATGTAAGACATATTTTCAGTTGTTTCACACTTTTTGTTAAGTATATAATTCCACATGCCTTCAGTGTGAATCTACAATTTTCAGTCATGAAAATAAAGAAAAATCTTTGAATGAGAAGGTGTGTACAACTTTTGGTTTGTACTACGCACTACGTACCGAACAATACAGATGTTTTAAACTTTATTTTATCAACATGTTCTGAAGATGCTCTGTGTTGAAGTCTCAGTGAATCAGTGTTCAACTACTCCACCTAGGCTGCATTGCTAAGTGCAGATCCACTGAGAAACTTGCTGTTTCAGCAACATTTAACTAAACAAATGTACTTTTGAGGTTAAACAAATGTTCATAAATTATTTCAATAAATTAGAAGTTCAGAAGGGCCTGGACATGAATTTTCCACATTGTCGCAGTCCTAATATATTATGTACATACATATATTACTTATTAATATTTGGCTTAAGGTTCAGTATTAGTTGCATTTTATTTATAATTTGCAGCATAAACTTCATCAGCGAAGTTGCTAAACATACATTTAAAAACTACAGTAATTCTTCAGTTCGTGATGAATTTCCAAACTCTGCTGAAAAAAAAAAACCCTCCACCATCTTTGTGTTTATGTTAACTTGTTGATGGTGCAATGAATCTTGGGATATCATCAACCATGCAGGATACTCATGTGCAGCCTTCATTTTCAGGGTTTTGCTGGTGCCTATGAATTGGGACAGCCTACAGCTCTGAGCAATGATGAAAACAGCAGACAAATGTGTCCTACATCGGCTGAAACCCCTGAATCAAGACAGTTAATGAGTACACTACAAAACCTGTCCATCTAACCAAACCAGTCAAAAAGTATTTTTGATCTTGTTTTGAGACCGATACTCTAAGCAAGAGCAGATTGTTAATCTTATTAGCCTAAACATTTTTCTTATTTGAAGAAGTTTTACCAAGCGCAGTTCTTTCATTCCACTGTCTGATTATTTCATTTTATTTGAGAAGATTCAGACTAACTCAGTATTTATAACTGAGTTTTATATGGTTAATATTTGCAGTCTTGTTTGATGTTTCTGGTGTATTTTCATGGCAGAGCTGCAGCGCCACATACAGGCCTGGAATAGTTGCTACAACTTGTTGAGTTGTTCTCTGTGTTTGCATGTGGATCATAACGTTTCTAGAAACAGTGTCGTGTTCACGAGGATATTTTCAGAAAAAAGAAAGAAAAATTAAAAATAACACATTCTGAACAGACAAGGCCTTCCTCAAACCTAGATTCAGTCGATGCTGTTCTCTTACCTCCTTTCTGTTCACACCTGAGCTGTTTTCTATCACCATGGTCTCTGCTGTGATGTGGCGATATTTGGAGCAGGGGGGGAGGGGCAGGTTAGCCATGGCCATCACAGCGGCACGCACATCCACAACCCTGCCCCCCGTAAAAAGACACACCTCAGCCTGACTCCGAACCTCCTGAAGCTGCTCTGAGAGGGATGCCATTCTACTCACACACACACACACACACACACACACACACACACACACACACACACACACACAC